AATATTTAAAATAGGAACCATGAAAGTTTTCATGCTCTCCCTACATCACGTTGTTGTATTGAAAGGATCTGGCCCTTGACCTAAGCTGGGCAGTTCTTCCACATTAAAACTTTATTTTCTTGGCCCCTAATCTACCTCCTGTACCTTCTATCCATTGATATCAGCTCTAAACTTTGAAATTAAAGGGACCAAGTCTATTTCATCTTCCACAATGGCCTGTTAGCTATTTGAGAGCAAGAATTGAGTCTCATCTGAATTTCCTCTTCTCTGGACTGAAAAATCCTGATTCTAACTGAGGCACCATCAAAATCAATGATCTCTGGACTTCAGTATGAACCTAAATCATGTAGAGACCTTGTTAAAATGCAACTGCTGATGCAGTAGTTCTGGGAAAAAGCTCAAGATTCTGCATTTTTAATAAGCTCCTAGGTAATGCTAATATTCTCATCATTACACCAGTTCTTGGTGAAGTGCTACACTGTTGGCCCATATTCACAACTGGACAAAGACTCACCAGAGTGACCAGTGCAGAGAAGAGCAGTGCTTGTCTTGTTGGGCCTCAGCAATGCTTAGGGGAAGTCAACTGGGGTGGTTGGTTGGTTGAATGGAAGGAGCCAATGGAGAGACAAAACATGCAACTGGGCCCTATGGACAGAGCTAGTAGTGGTGGAGGGGAGCAAGCTTCAAGGAGACCACGTTTCCATATGCAGAAGTAGAAAAGTAGCACACTGACACAGTGGCCTGGAGCTAGGAAGAGAGCAAATTCCTTTAAAGGGTATGCTGAAGTGAAAGTTGGATTTGCCAGGTCTCACAAGGGCATGCTCATGTTCTAGTATTTGCAGGCTGGTTGGACCAGTCAAGCACGGTTCCTCCTAATAATCTCACTGTGTCAAGTCTGTGGTTTTAGCTCGATGCCTGTTAGCTGAAGTCATTGCGTTGATAGCCTGTCTGCATCCCCTGGATGTTCCTCTGTGGTCCTCAAGTGCATTCCATTGATGATACATGTCACTGTTGAAAGCACTTCTATTGAGGAACATATTGGAATTCGCTGAGAAGTGTTTTCCCATACTCATCTGAGATCTTCATTTTTCTTTGAGTATGGGTCTTGATTCTAGTGTAGAAATATCAGTCATCATTGTTGATCATCCCTCCTTGAAGCTTTCTCTTTTCTTGGCTCCAGGACACTGCACTCTCCTGTTTTCTTAGCAGTCTGGCTGCTCCTCCTATGCAGGGTTAGCTTCCTCTACCCACCCACTAAGTATTGAAACCCCTCAAGTCTGTGGTCTGGGTCTGCTTCCTGTGTCACTCTTTCTTCTTTCCAGTGGCGGCATCAACTCCTGTACTTCAGATCCCATCTATGTACCTGTGACTCACACATTTTTACCTGCAGCCCAAACTTCAGAGCTCCAGTCTTGCATTTTTAACCACCTGGAGTATCATTTAGGTTCAAATTGCCCCAAACACACATTTCTCTCGCTAAGGCTATTCTGTTTCCATTGTTTCTGGAACCCATAAACAGTATTATCATCTACCCTGTAATCAAACTGAAGACTTACAGTCATCTTCAACAGTTCTTTCACCATTATTTTTGGGTGTTTACTTATCAAATCAAGAAATTTTATATCTGTTACATTTACTTCAGGTAATTATCTCTTTTATCAGATCTCTCTCCACTGCCATCACCTGAGTCTGAGCAACTATCATTTCCCACCTTGGTGTCTGCAGTGATTTCAAAACCCATCTCCCCAGTCCACTGTGGTCCCACGTTAAAGCAGGAATGACCTGTTGGAAATACAGATCTGACCACATCATCCCTTCTTGAATACCACTTAAATGCTTGTGCTTTTTTGTCCCAGACAGCAAAAACTTTCATTTTGGCTTAGAGTGCCTTGTGGAGACTTGGTCCGTTGCCCTCTCCACCTTTTTGCAAAAGCTGTTCTCTTTGCCTCCTCATTCTCGTGATACCACATTTCTTGCATTTCTTGAATGCGGTGAGCTCCTTGCTCCATCACACAGCCTTAGCCAGGCTGCTTCCTCTGCTGCTCTCACGTGCATGCTCCTCCATGCTCGCTTTGTCTAGCTGCAGCCTTAGAGCTCACCCTACTGGCCACTTCCTCCCAGATATGATTCATTTCCCTGTTAGGCCCTTTCTAAGTGTCTTGCACCACTGTGTTCAAACTCCTAACACAGTCAGAAGTTTGCTATTGTTGATTCTTGCTTTATTAATTCTATCTCCCTAGTCCCAACTCCCACTGCTGTAAACATTTTAACATCAAGAACTGTGCGTGATTTTGCCCACCATTGCATCACCAAATGCCTGTGATTACTTACTGAGTGAACAAAGTGTGAGTCTCATCAGACCACACACTGGTGAGAGTGTTCAGAGAGTGAGGAAATTCTCCCTAGGGCCCTTTGCCTGTATACTCCTAACCTCTAAAACACAACCTTGTAGCAGGCACTAAGCAAATGCTGTGCCAGTAAGCAGATGCCCCAGAATCAACCCTTCCTGCAAACCCAAAGACGATTCTGTCAGTATTGAGGAAACTTTTCTCTGAGTAATCTGCAACCCACCCTTATGCTTGGTGCATATCTTATGCTTAGCTGTATCTCATGTCCTCCAAGTAGGAGATGGGTGCTACATCAGAGCTCCACAGACCAGCCCTGTTAACGTGGTATTTGGCTAACCCCCCCCCCCCAGGAATTTCTCCAGGCTGTAAATCAGCAGACCCTGTTCAGACAGCCCTAGGATTTGAAGAATTGGTCTTGCCTTTAGCTGGTGAAAGGAGTAAATAAAAGCCCCTCATCCGCTGGTCCTGTAGGAGGAAGACCTCTGACCCGGCAGCATAGTGGACGCTCAATGACAATATAAAAAATGATTGAAAGAATAAATGAAGTACACAGTTATGGCCTGCTCACCTTTAATCATTTCTTAATCATCTGAACAGTTCTGAGGAGGGAGGCCTGTGTTGGACACAAACATCAAAAAGATGAACAGGGCACACTCACTGTCCCTGGAGCCTGACTCTCACTAGGGAGACTTGGCTGAGTAAACTCAAGTTACAGCAAGTTGGGGAAGGTACTCAGAGAGGAATACTGGATACTCTTCAGCAAAAAGAAAGGGCTGCGTCCCTGGGCTGGAGCACTGTTCTTAAACCTTAGCAAGTTTGGAAAACCAGAGCTCTAGTGTGCGTTGGGTATTTGGATCCGTTCAACTCAAGTTTCAGCTGAGTTCTGTGAACCCATGACTGGAATCAAAGGAGAAAACTCACTTCGGTTCCATGAGAACAAATGTGGGTAAGCAGAGACATCACCCCTCAGCTAAACAACCACAGACGCTTAGGGAGGTCCTATTACCAGTCTAGTTCTGGGCTAACTTGGGAAAGCAAAGATAAATGAGGCATCATCTTGCCTCTGAGGAACTTGAAGACAACTGGAGGAGACAAGTGCGGAAAAAATAACATGGGTATTTTGTGCTTAGAGATACTGAGGGATATGTGCAGAATGCTATAAAGTGTAATCAGCGTTTATGGGGGAGAGAGTGGGGAGGGAGAGAGGAGGGGGAAGAGAGAGAGACAGATGGGTGACTCTCCCAGGGGCGTGGACGACCAGAAAGGTGTGTCAGCTGCCTTAAGATGGGCTGGAGCTGATGTGTCAGAAAAGCTGAGACGGGAAGGGAAAAGGGAAAGAGTGCTTAGGGCTTCCAGTGCTTCACACACTATGGCACCATTGGGGATAAGAAGAGCAGCAGAGGAAATGCGTGGAGGGTACTGCTCAGCTAGAGATCGCTCTCCAGAATGAGATGAGAAGTTGCCTCAACTCCCTGGCATGTAGCACAGAGGCTGGGCTTTCACATTCGTTGTCCATGTTCTTCTTCTGCTATGGCATAAGCAGAATGGTTGCTGAAAGAAAAGGGGATTAGAGAGACTATGAGACTGGAAAGTTGAAGTAGGGCTCCTGACCGTTAATGCCCAAACTTGATGTCAAAGCACCTGGGGAAGCCTGGCCTGAACCTTCATCAACCATGTCACCTTTAGCAGCTTCCTTTGGTTTTCTCATCTGTAAAAATAGGGAAATCAATATCTGCCTTTGGGAATGCTTGTTGGGAGGACTGACCAATCCAGACTCTTGAAGGCACCCAGCACAATGCTGAGAGTAGGTGATGTTGCTGGTTCCCTCCCTACTTTCCTCTACCCGGGAATGAGTCAATGAATAAGGACTTGGTAGAACTTGTAGCATTAGTATTTAATGCCAAAAATGGAGTTAATCAGTTGTAAGTATTTTCTAACTTCAAGCAATTTCCTTTAATAGTCTAAATTTTTACCTTACCATTTATAAAAGGAACAACACACTCTTTCTCCCTTTAAAAATCCAGTGCCTTCAGCTCTCTGCTGTGGCCTGGGAGTGCAGTGGAGGATGGCCCAAGTGCTTGGGCCCTGCACCCTATGGGAGAGCAGGAGGAAGTACCTGGCTCCTGCCTTTGGATCAGCGCAGTGCGCTGGCCACAGCACATCAGCGGCGGTGGCCATTGGAAGGTGAAACAACGGCAAAAGGAAGACCTTTCTCTCTCTCTCTCTCTCTCACTGTCCATTCTGCCTGTCAAAAGAAAAAAAAAGAAAGAAAAAAAAATCCAGTGCCCTAACCACTCACTTCTGCTGTTCACCTGAAAGAACAAAGTAGGGTTAGAAATAATTCCATGTACCCAAGAACTATACATGGTTGAAGCTAGAGGAAAAGGATGTTCCAACCCAGAAGTTATGTAACACTGGACAAGGCATTTAATTTCTCTGCATATCAGTTTCTTCATTTGCAAAAGAATCCAATAATAACCCTGACCTCACAAGAAATTAACCCTGAAAAGGGATTGAGTGGAGAAACGTGTAGAATGTTCTTAGAACAGTGCATTTAGTCATCCCTCATTACATGAAGCTGTTGTCATGGTCATTTGATGGTCACATTATGGGAGCCTTTTCAGCATCTTTCTCCTTCTCTTCCCATTCAAGGTGCCTCCACCCAGAATTCTAACACCGTGGAGCCAGAAAAGCAGGTGGACAACACTGTGAAGATGGCTGGTGTGATCGCTGGCCTCCTCATGTTCATCATCATTCTCCTAGGTGTGATGCTTACCATCAAGAGGAGGTGAGTCTCTGCCCTGCCCTGACCCCAGCTGACCCCAACACTGCTGTGTGACCAGGCCCTTGCTCCAGTGATTGCTGTCCAGCAGAGATCTTCTGATATGATCGTTGAGGTCCTGAAATACTTGGGCCAACTATGCCTCATTGCGTTGGTGGCTGAAAGGTGTGTGCTACCAGACTGGTGAGTGGCCCTGAGATGGCTACTTTTGTATGGGACCAAGGATCCCTATGACTGGACCTCTATGAAATGCTGTGGGATCCTGTGTACTGGGGAATGACTCTTCTTGGAGTTAACTGCTCTTTTGTGGTTGATCATATCATCAAGACCACCGAGCAAGCCCAGGAACGTGAGTCCAGAAATACCCTTGCAGAAAAGTGATGCTTCATCTTTCTCACATCCATCTGTTCCTGATTTCCATTGGTCAAGTAGTAGCATCCCAAGTTGTCTCTGCATAAGAGACAAAGTCACCAGTGAGGTGAGAGTCTCCAGGGACTCTCCCACCCCAGGCTCCTTCCTCCTCTGTGTCCTGCAAAATCTCCCCACTTGGGTTGTGGCTGTTCATCCCTTTTTGACAGGGTATCTCCCTGGGCACATCTGGCCAGCTTATGTGTTTTCTAATATTGTCTGTGTGTTTTTCAAATTTCGTTGCCCAAGACAGCAGAGGGTGGAGATTCCTCCTTTAGTCCCAAGATCACTATGCCAGCATCTTCTGTTTTAAGACATGTTCACAAAGTTTGAGGGTAACACAAGGGAATTACAGAGAGTAGAAGGAAATGAACAGGATGACTATCAGCTCTCACCATCCCTAGGGTGCATTCCTTATTCCTCTAAGTAGGGAGTCCCACTGACCAGCTCTCCTGAGGCCCTGCCTGCCACCAGGGAGCCACACCGACTTCTCATCTCTGTATATTCTCAGTTTTGTTTCCAGGGCTCCGGCCTTCCCACTCCCCAGTCTGCCAGAGCAAAGCAAGCATTTACCCACATTACAATAGTATGTGCTTCACATGCCCTACACTCTCTGAAAAGAACCTCCTACAACATTAAATAAACTAACTCCTGAACCTGAAGCTCTGGGCTTGGTTACACACAGAATTCAGGGCAGCCCCAGGAACAAGGGCTAGTGACTTGCTTCCATGGGTAGGATAATAAGCACACATGAAATTTGTTCCTCACCAGAGAAAGTATGCCAAAGAGACAGAGTGTGCCAAAAACTACTCCCAGCTTCTGCTGTAGAAGCTGCATAAATATTAATGCAGAAGACTGGAAAAAAACTGAAAAGCAGTGTGCCCATTTCCAGTCCTCCATGACTCCAAAATGCTGGGGTTCCTACTACACATGCAGTCAGATTTTTCTTGGCCTTGTAGCTGCTGGAAGGTCCCCCTGTGTCTATCCCATTGTTCTGTTTTGAATCAGCCAGAGTTCCTTCTGGCCAGGATATCTTATAATTGGGACCTTATCTTTTCTTAACAACTTTTGTCCAATAGGATCACTCCTTTTCTCAGGCTCCCAGAAGAATGACTTAAGAGTTAATGTTTTTATCCGGTCTCTGATTTAGGGGTTGGAAAGAGTAAGGGAAAGAGAAGGTATTATGTTAACACTGGGTAGGAGAGGCCCTGAAAGGATTAGCAACAGCACTATTCGTCATATCATCATTATCATTGATCAAGCATGGCATGTTCAATGTCTCATTGACTGGGAAGCTGCTGTTATCTGGGTGGCACATGAGTTTTAGTTTCTCTTGGGAGCAGTGGGCACATTGCACCTGTTAGACCGTTGACATGTTTCTTAGTGCCATAGATGTATTAGAAACAGGTGGGATTGTCCACCTGGAGAAGGTAACCAGTTTTAACCGCACTGAATACCTCTCTGATAGACCTGAAATTCTCTTATTCTTTCCCTGTGATTTGTAAGTCAGATATGCTCTTCCAATTTTGCTCTTTCTAAAGCCTGGCTTAACCCACGTCACCATCATCTGTGAGCTTGTGAAGAAATTTCACTTCCTTCTCGACAGCTATTTCTGAAACATGTGATTTTGGGGGAGGGAGGGAAGGACTTCCTGTTTTCAGGGTGGGAGCAAGTACACAGTGAGTCTTTTGTGTGGTTTTAACCTCTTCTGAGGTCTTTCATCATCCCTCATATCCATAAAACCTGTTCACCCGATCCGACTAATAGGTGTTATGCAATCACTGTTCTGTGAAGAGACAAAATTCAGATATTGTGGCATTGAGGGGAGGAGGGGAGATGATGCTGATCACTGTTTACATATACAATATCTTTTAGAGAAAGCAAGACATTTTGCTGGCCTACTTGATAGGAAAAAATTACAGAGGAATGTAGGGAAGGAGAGGAGACAGGAAGAGAGGAAGGGAAAATGAGGAGGGGGAAATTAAACATTAGCTTTTGTTCTACTAATTTACAGTGTCTTCTAGCATAACGAGAGCCCCAAAGGACAGCGAAGGGCATGGGGAATGCCTTCATGCCTGTGCCCATCTTGTGACTTCAGACCTTAGATAAATATGGAGAAACTTCATGGGACAATTGAGTTTCTTACTAACTTCCTGCTGGCCAGATTGCTCTCTACAGCTACCTAGAAGCCAAAGATCCTAGAAGCAAACAGTAAGCAAATCGCCATAGCTCAGGATCCTAGTGTCAACATCTGTTCAGTTGCCACATGTACTTCCTGGATCTGGGTGCTCTCAGAGGTCAAACACCTGCTGTGCTCACTCCCCTGGTGAGCTTACCTGGTTCTCCTCCTTGCCCTTCATCTTCCATACACTGGTTCATGCCACAGATGGCCACAACAATCAGGGCTGAGCCAGGCCAAAGCCAGGAGCAAGAACTTCTTCCAGGACTCCCATGTGGGAAGCAGGGTGCAAGGACTTGGGCCATCTTCCACTGCTTTTCCCAAGCCATTAGCAGGGAGCTGGATTGGAAGCAGAGCAGCTGGGACGTGAACTGATGCCCATATGGGATGCCAGTGTCACAGGTGGTAGCTTTACCCAGTATGCCAGCGCTGTGCAGCAGGATTCTTTAGCACCCAGGACTGATCTAGATCTCTCCACCCCTTCTTACTTTTTAAAGAAAATCTGGGCAACTTTTAAGGATATATTTTTCAAATCAGTACCACAAATAGATCTAACCACACCCATCTCATCCCCTCCTAGCTCTTCCTCATACAGGTCTTAACATTCTGTCAACCATGACTGACTTTGCTGTCCAAACAGTAACTTTTCTAATAATGTATTTAGGGTGTCTTAAGTTTGAAACATGAGCATGTATTCTGAGATACGGATGCATCTCTTGTTAAGCATCGATTCTCTCTCATTTGCAACTATCCTCCAATAGCTCCCAATATAATGGATGCAGGCATCTTGTGGGAAAAACTGTGTCTTTTCTCCACTGTCAATCCATAACAATCAGCATGGAGGACTTCCATAATTCCAAAATGTGTGGGAATTTTTCCCCACCAGCAACCATGGGGTCAGTTCTACACCTTGATTGCTAATCCCATTCAATTCTGACACACTCTACCTGGAACTAGCATCATATCCCACCCACCCCCCTTTTCATAGAGTGATTTATTAACTGACTTGAGTGAAAGGAAGGGGGGGAGGGAGGGAGGGAGAGAGAGAAGGAGAGAGAGAGAGGTGCAGAGGTCTTCTACCCACTAATTTACTCCCCAAATACCCACAACAGCTGGTACTGTACCAGACACAAACCAGGAGATCCACATCTTCCACATGGGAGACAGGAAGCCAAATACTTGGACTGTCAACCTCTATCTTTCCAGGTACATTAGCAAGAAGCTGTATTAGAAGTCAAAGAGCTGAGATTCTAAGTGGTGGCTTAACCAGCAGCGCCTCAGTGCCTGCATCTACCACCCCACCCCCCCATTTTAGATATTAGTCACAAGCTCCCAGCTGTTTCACCTGTGCCAGAATTCCTACAGCCCCCTCCTTGGTTCAATTAGTTTGCTAAAGTGGCTCACACTCGGGGAAACACTTCATTACATCTACTGGTTTACTAAAAAGAGTATTACAAAGGATATAGATGACGACATGGTTAGGGCTGGGTGTGGGGGATTGGGCATTGAGCTTCCATGCCTCCTCCAGAAACCTCCACATGGTCAGCTCTCTAAAAGCTCCCCAAATACTGTCAGTTTTGGATTTATGGAGACTTCACTGCATAGGTATGATTGCTAATATACTGAGAAACTCACCAAGGCATTCTAGATTCTTCAGCAATCTTTCCTCAAAAGTTTGGAACAGGACCTCTCTGGACTGAGGAGGGTCTTGTATCCTACTGTCTGAATTTCTGTGGTCTGCCTTGGAGTGTGGAACTTGTAAGCCAAGAGCCATGGACAAAAACCATACCTTCTGGGAATGAGAAAAACTGGGTCCAAAGTTTTGCAGTCCTGTTTATTGGCTGTTAACCTTGGAAAAGCAACTTAATGAATCTCAGCCTTTGCTTTCTCTTGTGTGAGATGTGGCCAATGGTATAGGGCTCTTCTGAAAATCAAATGGAATAATGGTTGGGATAGACTTTATTCCTTGTACCTGACTGAAAAATGACAATATCAGTGGGGATATTCATCTCACACCTGAGCAACAACTGTACCAATTCAGCTGCAAACCCATCGTTAATGTTAATAACCATGTTGCAATCAGTGCTCACTCATTTGCCTAATTTGTTCATATTCCATGTAAACTGGTGCCACATTCTGATGTTAATCTTCCTTATACCATAGTACAGATGGTCTTTGAATACACCTTTTTTTTTTTTTTTTGAGAAGAAGAAACTGAAGTTCTGTAAGTGTACATGAGTTGGCCAATGTGTTAGGCAGATCTGAGATACAAACTCCGGCTCTGTGACCCCAGAGTCCATGTTGCTAGCTTTCAAACTGTCAGTCCACAGAGACTGGACTGAAAATAAGCAAATCCTAGAAAATAAGAAAATCCTAGTCTAGGATACAGATGACCCAGATTCAGATTCCACTTTTCCTC